ACCAAAAAAAATCACCAAATCATTTTAAGCTAGTACATATGGACTAAGTATTTACCTATCACAGTATTGAAAAAAGACTACAAAAATCACTGTCCTGCTCTGTATACTGAGTCCCTGTTCTCAGCCCTCTATGAACTAAATAGATGTGACAAATGACTGATGAGAAGAAAAACTGTTTTTTTTTTTCAGAAAGGAAAATGGTTGCTAATACTCAGAGAAAATAGTTTATATGTAGTTGCACTGGAAGCCTTTGACAACATTGGCAGCTGAGCAGCTATATAGTGAAGCTTAAGGCTTTAAGCTCTTGATAGTTCTTTTTATTTGCATGAGGTGCAGATAGCTTCTACATTATCATGTTGCATTTCTTTGTAGATGATTACAGACCTTTTATACGTCTGAGGTCAGCTTCTCTGAGTTTAACTTATCTTAAAAACAAAGTATATTTGTCTGTGTTAAACAGATCTTTGGATCAAGGGCAGGTGCTTTTTCTTTAAATGCCCACTGAACTCTAGAAAAATAAGAACAGTGAAAGAAGTATTTTAAATTTTTTTTTAATGTGTAAGTTGAAGTTAGAATATCCATAACTCTGGTGTTGTAGAAAGCTGTTGTCAGAAAAGGCATACTGCAATTGGAGGAGTGCTATGAGTCCTAGCTCTGTGTGGCTCAGCTGGAAGAAATCAATTCCCAAAGTCTACTCTGTTAGCTCAGGACTTGTTGCTGAACTACACCATCATGACATCAAGGAAGAAGAAAGAGTTAAAATAATACAAAACAGATTGTTTAGTATCATAGAGAATAAATTTCTGCTATGTCTTTTCTTGATGCCTCCTTAGCAGTTCCTTTAAATTCTATGAAGTATTTTAGAACTTCTTTGATTGTGTTTCTCTGATATTTTTCTATTCAATGCAATTGTATTTTTCATATGTTGCTATTGTGAAGGAATGGAACCCTTACTGTTGTACATCAGCTGGCATGCTTTGTCACTGTTGAGGAAGAGGTATGCCAGGAAAAGGGTTAGCTTTTGTTTACCCATTACTGTCACTGATGTGACTAGTGAAGGGAACATCTCAAGCTATTTTTTTCAGAATAGAGTAAGACTTTTTTAAACCAAGTCAGTTCCAAAGGGAGTATAATACATGGACTTTTCTCTCCCAGTTTGTTCTTTTCATTCCTTCCATTTCACACATCTTAATAGACAAAATCAATGAGAAAGAAAGATGAGAGTAAAGTCCTTAAACTCAAATTAATATCCTTAAAGGAAACCTGTTCAGAGACTATTATGTAGACATCATCAGAGAACAAGTGAAGACAGGAAATACCGAGGGTAAAAATCATACTAATCCTCAACAGACTGTTACCAGTGAAAGACTAGTGAAGACTGTAAAGAGGCCATGGGTCTGGATGAGCTCTTGCTTATATTTAGATGTTCATAGAATCAGAGAATCAATTAGGTTGGAAAAGACCTCTAAGATCATCAAGTCCAATCTATGACTGCCTTGTCAACTAGATCATGGCACCATTTACCATATCCAGTCTTTCCTTAAAAAATTCTAGGGAAAGTGACTCCATCACATCCCTGAGCAGCCCATTGCAATGTCTAATTACCCTTTCTGTGAAGAAATTTCTCCCAATGTCCAACCTGAACCTCCCCTGGCAAAATTCAAGACTATGTCTTCTTATCCTGTTGTTGGATGTCTGGGAAAAGAGACCAACCCCCACCTGATTAAAACCTTTTTTCATTAATTGTAGGGACCAATAAGGTCCCCCTGAACCTCTTTACTTCCAGTCTAAACAACAACAGCTCCTTCGGCCATTCTTCACAGGGCTTGTGCTCCAAGCCCTTTACCAGCCTTGTCATCCTTTTCTGCTCCAGCTCCTCAGTGTCTCACCTGCAGTGCGGGGCCCAGAACTGGACATGACATGTGAGGTGTGGCCTCACCACTGCTGTGTACAGGGGGACAATCACAGCCCAGGTCCTGCTGGCCACACTATTCCTGATACAGGCCAGGATGCCATTTGCCTTCTTAGCCACCTGGGCACAGCTGGCTCACATTCAGCTGCTGTCACCAGCACCTCCAGGTCCTTTTCCACTGCGCAGCTTTCCAGCCACTCTGCCCCCAGCCCATAGCACTGTCTGCAGTTACTGTGATGGAAGTGCACTGGCACTTCACCTTGTTGAACATCATACCATGAGGTCTTGGCACCTCAGTCCAGCCTGTCAAGGTTCCTCTGCAGGGTCTTCCAGTCCTCCAGAAGATCAACAATCCCACTCAATTTGGTGTCATCCATGAATTTACTGAGGACACATTTGGTCCCCTCATCCTGACCATAAATAAGGATACTGAATGGGATCAGCCCAACCCTGATCCCTGGGGGACACCCCTAGTGATTCAATGACAATTAGATGTAGTACCATTTATCACTGGTGTCTGGGCCTGGCTGTCCAGCATTCTTAACCCAGCAAAGGTTTTACCTGTCCAAGCCATGGGCTGCCCACATTTCCAGGAGAATGCTGTGAGAGATGGTACTGAAGGCTTTTACTGAAGGTCAGGTAGGCACATCCATAGCCTTCCTCTCATCCACTGAGCCAGTCACTCACTAAAAGATGGAGACCAGGTAGGCCAGGCAGGACCTGCCTTTCCTAAACCCCTGCTGGGTGGGCCTGATCCCTTGGGTGTATATGCTCTGTCATAGCACTCAAGATGGTCTGCTCCATAACCTTGTCAGGCATCAAGGTCAGGCTGAACTTGCTGTCAGATATGTAGCTCCCTGGGTCTTCCTCCTGGCCCTCCTTGTGGATGGGCATCACACTGGACAGCTTCCATTCATCTGGGACTTCTCCAGTTAACCAGGACTGATGATAAATGATGAAGAGCAGCTGAGTGAGCTCTTCCACCAGCTCCCTTGTCACCCTAGGATGAAGTCCATCTGTCCCCGTAGCCTTGTGAGCATCTAAGTGGCACAGCACTTATTCCTCATGGATTACAGGGGGTCTGTTCTGCTCCCAGTCCCTGCCTACCAGGTCAAGGGGCCAGTTGCTCTGAGCATGACTAGTCTTACCGTTGAAGAACAAGACAAAGAAGGCAATAAGTATCTCAGCCTTTCCCTCATCTTTGGTGAATGTATTTCCCTCTTTGTCTAATAAAGAATGGAGTTTTACCTTGGCCTTTCTTTTGTTACTAATACATTTTTAAAAACTGATGTAACCGACAGCAAACAGATTAAGTGAATTTTTTGTCTTTCTAGTTTTATTTCTGCATGACCTAAGAACATCTGTATACACTTCCTGAGTTACCTGCCCCTTTTTCCAGAGGTGATATATCCTCTCTTTTTCCCTGACTTCCTGTGAAATCTTGCTGCTAAGCCAGGCCAGTCTTCTTCCCTGCCATCTGTTGGCACATAGGAATAGCTTGCCCCTGAAACTTCAAGATTTATTTTTTAAAGTATGTCCCACCTTCTTGGTCCACTTTGTTTTTAGAGGCTGCTTCCCAAAGCTCTCTCTCGGCCAGTATCCTGAATAGGCTATAGTCTGTACTTGGGAAGTTCAGGTAGATGCTGTGTTGTTCTCCAGGAACCTCCTAGGCTGTCTCCACTTTGCTGTGGTTAGTTTCCAGCAGACATTTGGCTGGTTAAACAAGGGCTGATAATCAGAGATGATGTCTCTGGCTGAGACATCAGCCAGCTGACCACAGAATAGTTCATCCACCTCCTCATCCTGGTTGGGTGGTCTGTAACAGATTCCCACCAGGATATATGCCTTTTCAGCCTTCCCCGATTGTCACCCATAGACCTTCTTATCACTTAGCACTTAGCACTTCTTATCACTGTCCTGGAGCTTTGTGAAGTCAAAACACTCTATAGAGCCACCCCACTACCTCTGGTTCTTTGCCTGTCCCTTCTGAAGGGCTTGTAGCCATCCAATGCAACACTCTGGTCATCCTACCACATTTCTGTCATTGCTTTCCTGCTGCACTCCGGCTCCTCCTATTTGTTACCCATATTGTGTGCATTGGTGTAGTTGCACTTCAGCTGATTTTACCCCTAACCCTGGCATTCTGACTCTAGGCTCATATTACGTGAGCCTGGTCTTATTCCCACCCCCTGTCAAGCTGAATGCTTCAGGTAGAAACCTGCATGCTGTGCAGGTCCTTGCTGGTCAGTGGGAAATTATGAGTATCTACAGAGTTGTTAAGCGGCTGGGCTGTCCAAGGCCCACTACTGATTACAGTGTTCAGCTTGCTCCTAATGTGAAAGGAAAGCCTCCTTGGGTCTGGTCTTCTCTGATCTTCTTCCTGATCATTTGCTACTCATGGAGAGAAAGGGTACTTAAGGCTATTTTTCCCTCGTTCTTCTCATGCTAAGGACAAGTTGCAGGACATACTAACCACAGAACTATTCTGCAAAATTTGATAAATTCCCTGCCTTTTCAGACAATCTTGTATCACTGCTACCAAGTTCCTACACCTGGTGGTAGTGGAGTGATGACTTTCTTTTAATATTTTTTTTATCTTTTTTAGGATAAAAGGAACTGTTCTGTATCCCTGCTGGATGATTGCTTCTTCCAGGTGAAGAGGGCTGCATGGCTAGTAACTGGTCAGTCTCTAGCTCCTTGAAGTTAGTGTGGAGCATTTTCATTTCAAGGAAGTCTTGAGATATCCTAAAGTAATTGTAAACTAATTATCATAGTGCTTAAGATACAGTTGCTGGTTTTTTTCAAGCATACAATGCATTTTAGAAAATATTTTCCATGTCTCACACATTCTGTCTTAAATTGGACATTTGTTAGTATAATCGTTTATAGTTTCCTAATGCTTAACAAAATATACTCCTGGAAACCTTTTAATCAAAATTATTTTATGATTTTATGCTTATTATGTTGGCCCAAGCCAACACTTTGGGCATGAAGGGTCAACCCTTGTGGTTGATGTTCTTGCAGTCTTTATGGTCTCTCTTTATCATCACTCATTCAGAACACTTTCAAGCAGATTTTCCTCACTTACCCTTTTATTCTTTGGTTAGAGTGTTTAATGCCGTAGGGATGATCTTTCTAAGTATGCTCCTTCTCTGCCTTCTTTAAATTCTAATGCACATCCACTGGATCCTGATCAAGTGGATAAGAATTACTTATTGTGTGATCACATGTGAAAAACAGTATTTTTACCTTGTGTAAAAATGCAGTTTTTACCTTGCAATTTTACCTTGCTTAAAAACAAAAAAGAAAAAACTCTGTCTTTAGTTCTCCCTCTAACCCTGCAGGTTTGAAATATTTGTAGGTTATTAAATGAGAAATGGAGTTTTTCTGAACTACAGATATATTTCCAGTACTTCACTGTCAATCTAACTTACTGATATGGGTTCTTTACAACCAACTGTTGCTTTATCAGCATGGTTATCAAAATCAGCTTCTCACAATACTTATGATGCAGTAGAAATTGGGGTGAGATTTGGGAATTTATTTATTTGATGCGATGGGAGGAGTTTATTACACTTTTCAACATAACAAGATTAAACCGAGTACACTTAATATTGAGAAATTATATTCAATGCATGATTTCCACATTGTTTTTGTCAGGAAAGTACGTAGTATTTCAACTTCTGTACAGTTCATGGTACTGGCTTTAGAACAAGACAAACCTGAAAAATGTAGATAGTTTTTGTTACAGGCACAATGTGAAAGGAAGTTCTTTTAGTACTTACCAGAGGGTCCTTAATGTCTTTTAGTGCTGAGTCTTTCCATTAACTATCATGAAAATTACAAATGTTCCTCTTTTTCTGTAATTCTGAGGTCATATCATTGCTGATGACACTTTCCCGTTGCTACCTGCTGTGGCAGAGGGTGAAGTGAATCAGCTTTGTAAAAATTTAACAGGTTTTTCATCCTCTGGACTTGTATCTCATCAGCAGGTAATGAAGCCAAGATTGTTCCTCCCATCTACTTCTACCTCATCTGATATTAAAAACTCAGTGTGGATTGTTTTGGAAAATGTTAGGACAGTGCTCTCTTCCTGAGTCCCATTCATGGCATCTTGTACATTGTATAAATGCAATTAGAAACCCTTTTTTCCCCACTAGTTTTAAAAAGGCTTTTTGCGTCCTGATGTATTTCTGATTACATTCTACTATGCTTGCATTCTACTACTGCTTGAAAATACCTGGTGTTAGATGTAAACTCTCCATTATATAGACATAATGTTTTTCCTCTTAATGTTGATTTTATCCTTTTACTTCCAAAGGGTAAAGCAGGATTATGTAATAGAGCTATCTAAAAATGCATAGCTTATACATTTGTATCATTCTGTATGTTGTATGGTAGCCTGTTGACTTTTCACAAGGCTCAGCTGAGTAATTGTCACAGCATTTTTAGCATACTTAATTAGGAAGTCAAGAATGTAATCTAATATGCTTTTTCCTTGTGATTTTGTTAAATGTGTCTTTAATTGTTAAACAGATGATTGACAACTTCAGAAAAGATACGCATTTTACATTAATATATCCAATTCAGGCTGCACTTTTATTCTTGCATCCTATTTAGAAGATAATAAAAACAAAAGCAAAGATGAAAAATTCATCTTGTCTTTTTAGCATCAGATTGTCACTAAGTGCAACTTAGCCCACCTTAGCAGTAATTTAGACACCATGTCAAGAACTGGTTCCCATTTTAATCAGGTTTGAAAACCATCATGGGGGAAGGAGGTAACTGAGTTGGCTTGATCAGTCAGGTAAAATTCAGCAGCAAACTTCAGGTTTATGAAAATGAAATCATGAAGCTTGGAGTGGGAAATAAGTTTAAACAGTAGAAATTATAGAAATAGAATCCTTGCATGAGCACTGTAAGTATTAAGACCTTATAAAAAATGCAGAGAAGGAAAGCTGGTGAAACCACAGAAATTCATAATCAAGACAGAAATTCTCAAAGCAGTACAGTGGATTTTAAAAAAGGATTTGAGAGGATTTCTAGTAGCACTTCTGTGCATAAACTTTCTGCAATATTTGAAAATCTTAATCTAATTTTCTGAAGTTAGATAAACAATGACCAGAGTAAGATATCAGAATAGCATATATTTTCACATATGGTGATAAATACTAAACGGAAACACTAAGATGGATTAAATCCATAATGAGGAATAAGATGATGACAGTCAAACAGAGAAAAAGGGATTTTTATTATTTTTTATGCAGTCAATGAGATATATTTCAGCCATAAAATATTATTACCCTCTCCATTGGAGCTTCAACTATTTATCACAAGGTTTTTAAAACTAGTTAGGATAAAATACTAGAAAATATACTGCTAGGATCCTTCCTGCAGTAAGGAAGGAGGAAATAGTGATATATTTACTTTTTGTGGCAGCAAAAACTTTATTCACCTAATGTCTGGGTGTTTTTTAAAATACTGTAATTTATTTCTCTGATAATAATAACAATGAAGAGTTGTCTTTTTATAACGATAAAGAGTTGACCCTGGCTGCATACCAGACATCCACCAAAGCTGTTCTATTCCTCCTCTGCAAATGGATGGGGAGAGAAAATATAATGAAGGGTTCACGAATTGAGATAAGGGTAGAGGGAGATCACTCACCAACTACTGTCACGGGCAAAACAGGCTGGAATTAGAGACACTAGTTGAATTTATTGCTGACAAAATCAGAGCAGGATAATGAGAAGCAAAAATAGACCTTAAGAACACCTGTCCTCACCCCTCCCTCCTGCCCAACTGTGCCTCCTTTCTCCAGGGATGCAGGGAGGTGAGGAGTGGGGGCTGTGGTCAGTTCATCAAAAGTTTTTCACACTGCTGAGAGAGTCCTTCCCCTTCTCCAGTGTGGGGCCCTCCTACAAGAGATCGTTCTCCATGAACTTTTCACCTCATGAGAAACAGTTATCAACAAAATGCTCCAACATGGGTAACACTTCCATGGAGTGCAGTTCTTCCAGGAAGCCTGCTCCAGCATGGGCTCCTCTCTCCACAGGTCTGCAGGTCCCCGCTAGGACCCTGCTTCAGCATAGGCTTCCCATGGGGTCACAGCCTCCTCTCAGGCATCCACCTGCTCCAGCCTTGGGCTCCTCCATGGGCTGCAGGTGGATCTCTGCATCCCCATGGACCTCCATGGGCTGCAGGGGCACAGCTGCCTCACCATGGGCTGTACCAGGGGCTGTGGGGGAATCTCAGCTCTGGCTCAGCCCTGGAGCATCTCCTGTCCCTCTTCCTCCATTGAACTTGGTGTCTGCAGAGTTGTTCCCCTCACATAATCTCACACACTCTTCTCTGGCCACAGTTACAACTGCCCAATAATTTTCTTCTTAAATTTGTTACCACAGAGGCATTACCACCATTTTTAATTTGCCCAGACCTGGCCAGTAGCACACCCTCATGGAGCCAGCTGACATTGGTTCTGCTGGACACAGAGGAAGCTTCTGACAGCTTCTAACAGAAGTTATCCCTGCAGTCACCCTGCTACAAAAACCTGGCTATGCAAACAATAATTTGCTGTTTTTAAAATACTACTTTATTTGCAGTAATAATAAGCCTGTACCAAACTTTCTTTCAGTTTAGGCTCAGATGGCAAACACATTTGTGCCTGTTCCCTCACCAGTAGGTCATTAAAATCCATTAAAATGGATCTGACTGAAATGGAAAAAACTTTAAATATATCTTGGAGGGTTCATGTATTTGGAGTCATAAGCACCAAGAAAAGGAACTGGATATTGGTTCAAAATAAATATATGAGCAAAGCCTTAGTGATTTATTCTGGTCTTTAGGGTATAATTTCCTCTCCTCTTGTAAGTGGGGTTGTAAATATATCAGAATATAACCATACTTTCCTCTGCACTCTGTTTAGGTTTCTATCATCTCTGGAAGCAACTGTATTAAGGCTTCATAGGTTTTTTTTTCTCCACTGTGGGAGACTTTCTTTGTCCTACAGCTATGCCTGGATATTTAACTACAGGCAACAGCATAATGAGTCCAAGAAAATGACTATTGAATTTCAGAAACACACTTAAGTACTTCGCAGAGAAAATGACTCTGCTGGGCTATGGTCTACTATTTCCAAAGTTCAAGGGGAAGAAAAATAACGAAGAATTGTACCTTTGATTATTGAAGAGCTGCAGCAAGTTTAATCCTTAGAGCTTGAAAGAGCTTTCTGTAAATCAGCCAATTTGTTGAAAAGCCCTACCATGAGTATTTACAGACAAATCACTATATGAAAATTACTGTGCCCCACTGAAATCCATAATGAAGTTATCACTGAAAAACCGTGGTTGTTCAGCCATGCTGATGATTATTTCTAGTGTGATCGGGTAGGGCTGGCCTGTGTAGAGCTTTATGCAGGCATTTGCTTCAGGTATTGAACACCCAATCTACTGAAACTATTGACGACAGATGGCTATTATATATATATATATATTATTTTTTTTTTTTGGTGTGTATCTTATAAGGGCAATACTGTGCTAGGTCTAGTTAATTTTTTTATATTGATGTATTGGTCAGATGGGCAGTTTCAGCACTGCAGGCACTGCAAATGAGAATGCCTGCCAGTGTTTTCTCTAGTCTTACCTTTATTGCAGGTATGCAGCTCAGCCATTAGTCAAAAATATAAAGGAACTCATTCTGACAGTAATGTGTTTTGACTTTATAAAACTACAACATCTGTAGGTTTTGGGAATCTTAACTTCTGATATGTAAAAAAATCTCTCTGTGTATCTTTATCAATTTTTCAAAGGCTTTTATGTTGACTAGATATTTCAGATTGATGTATATGATATAAAACCTTTGTTGTCTTTTTCTAACAAAGACACAGAGAATATAATTGAAGAAAATAAGACATTTGTAGGTAGCCTACAAATAAATCCTGCTTGCAGGCAGAATTAATTGGCAGAATACTTCATGATGTGCCAATACGCTTAGATGCAGAAAAGTGCTCCACTATGGTAGAGCTCTACCAGATTTCCAGGGCTTTGCCTGTCTGCAAAAAACACTTGGTGGAATGGTGGTTTTCATTTAGTCTGTATGTTTCAAAAATAAATTATCATGTAATTTCTAGAAATGAGAGAAAATTCTTCCAGGGCATGTATTTCATTTTAAGGACATAAAGTGAATTGTAGGCTGGAATTACATGCTATTCCATAGCAGTTCAGCATTTCTCAGACTTCAGCCCAGAGAATCAAAAATTTTCAAATTATTTTGTAAAAAAAAAAAACAAACCTTGGTTTACTAGAGAGATAGGGCTGACACTTCTCTACTTATAGCTGCCCATTCACATTTCACTGTGGCAAATGCAGCAACTGCTTATTTAAAATACTGATAGTCAGCAAGGTAATTACTGTGGTTTTACCCATCTTAAGGCAATTGGGAAACCTATTCCAAATAATTAGACAAGTTTTGGCTTCACAGACAAAAGCCCTTCATCCTTCATTTTGGGCATCCCTGCCCATGTTTCTCTCTCTCTTTTTGGTTTTTTTTTGTGTCTTTTTGTTTGTTTGTTTGTTTGGTTTGTTTGTTTGTTGTTATCAAAAACTTACCTTTTGAATAGCCTAAAGGGTATAAGTGTCCAGGCTTCATTTCTGACTTCCTCATTCAAAAATACTATCTATCCTATATCCTATTCTAAGATGTCCAACTGAGGAATGGGAATCTTGTTATTAAATGTACAGTCATTTTAGGCATCTAATTTAAAACTATATGGCTAGCTTTTTCAGCATAATTAGCATTTTCTATCATTTAATTGATTAAGAGGATTGGATCACTGACCTCACTTACAGCTGTGAATGCTCAGCATTTTGCAGATTATTCAATAAGTTCTTAAAATGTCACCCATAAAATAGAAATGCACAATTAGTGTCTGCCTATGAAAACTTTGGTTTATAACTTGTCTCAAACAGCAAAGATCCTGCAGCAATGACCGGACATCCTGGAAATATAAATACTGACACAGCACTGCTTTCCAAGCTAGGCTGTATTTAGAATTCCACTAGCCTTATCCACTAGTCCTATTCCACTAGCCCTTCCATAAGCTCTATTCAGCGGCACGCCCAAATTTCTGCAATATCCTGCAGATAAGAGAAAGATCCCATCTCTATTCCTTTACAGCTGGTGTAATATGCCCAATCAAGCTTTTTCTTTATGCTGAAGGAGAAAGAGGTGAAAATAAATGTAGAGTTATTTAAATAACTATGCTTGAATGACTGAAATTGAAAATACTCTTAATAATGATATTTCTTTACTTATGCATGGTCATAATCCCACCAATCATTCTTTCAGTGAGTACTTTACATGAAATTTTCTGAAGTTTTCAAAAGCATTCTAAAGTGTCATGGCGGAAGACCTGTGACCTCGAGACCAGACCAGCCAGAGACGAAGTAGTGAAATAAATAGAAGGATGGGCTCAATTGGATGACCCAAAAATAAAGAGCTTTAATAGTGAAAACAGCAAACATACAATCCAGGGACACAGTAGAAGGTGCACCAAAAGGGTGAGGGGCAGGGTGATAACAACTTATATAGACTAGGGTCAGGGTGGAGTCTGAGGGTAAAGGCCTGTGAGGTGCCTCCTGCCCAGCGATTCTGTCCCACAAAACCCATCACCCTGCCTCTGTTCAGGGCTCTCTGCCTCTGGATCTGAGTTTGTTCCTGCACTGAATAAATGGTTTCCCGAGCAGAAGCCCATCTTGCTGAGTCCCATATCAGTCACTGGTAACGGTAACCTCCCTGGACATGATCCTGCAGTCCCAAAACGCAACAAAGGCCCAGTGGGAGAAAACGATTAGGAATATGTAAAATACTGCAGGAAATACAAACCAGTAACAGCAGGGGAAAGAGAACTTTCCAGTAACATTTATATACAACTGAACAGAAGGCAGGGTGGGTATTGTTTTTCGCTCCATGATAAGGAAGAGTTTTCCCACAGCCTTCCACCTGGGTTTTCAATTACCCCAACATCTCCTCCTTTTCATTCCTCCAAAAATAAAAACAATTCTTAACATTTAACTTTGGTACAACAATAACATGAAACAGAATAAGAATGGCATCATGTACTTTCATCTTTATAAGCCAAATTGTGTGATGAAATATTCTATGCTATTTTCTGCTCCTCTCTTATTTGTTGGATGTCCATTCCACTGTGCATCTTTTTCATCACCTCTGCTTGATTAACGTAGTGAAACTTAACTCAGAAGTCTGTTTTTACAGAACCCAAAATCTCCAATTCTTGGGATTCTGATGATCCATGTGTTAGTTTCCAGGCCCAGTAATCCCAATGATCCACAGGGTTGTGGATCCAGTTATTGTGGGGGCGGAGCTTACAGATGGCATCCTCGTTTAATGGCCACCCATCCACCAGCAACCCTAAACAGGTAGAAAAGCGGTTCTCCAGAGTCACTACTGACAGACATAGTGTTTCTTGCTTTCTTATGTTGGCCAGTGTTACCCATACATTTTGCTTTGGCTGTGAGACTTACCAGGTTTTTATGAAGGGTATGGTGCAGACCAAAAATTCCAAGGCACAGGACTCCTTCCAGGGTCCATGGATGTTTCTTCTTCTGCTGAGTGCTCCACTGGGGTCTTTTGTTGGTGATGTGAGCTCCTTCAGTGGCTGCAAGTGAGGTTTGATGCTCTTGGCAGGGACCCACCTGGGTCCTGCACCTGTGGACACACAAGTAAATCCCCTTCCCCAGGTGATAAGTGGGAACAGCCCCGAAACTTACCCTGTTTTGGGATCCTTCACTAGTACCAGTGGTCTCTCCTGGAGTTTTGCCTGTGTGGAATTTGTGAAATGTCTAAAAATCGGTGGGACTGGTTCCATAAATGAGTTGCTCAAAAAATTAAAAACATACAAAGTTTTGCACAGCCTCTCTACTGTAGACAGGATCTCCACTCCTCCTTTTCGTTTTTCTAAAAGGTGTTCAAGAGACTTGTGGGCTCTTTCAATAATTGATTGACCAGTAGAGAAGTGAGGACTGCCCATTGAATGTTTAATGCCCCATAGAGCGAAGAAGTCCTGTATTTTCTGGGAGGTGTATGCTCATCCATTGTCTGATTTCATTTCTTGGGGAATACCTAATGTAGAGGAAGTTTGTAGAAAATACTTCATTGTCTTGGGTTTTTTCCCTATTGTGGGCTGATACATAGGTAGCTCCTGAGAATGTATCTATTGATATGTGTATGTATTTACATTTACCAAATGATTGGTAATTGGTGACGTCAGATTGCAAAATGTTTGATCCTCGGGGGTTAACCCCAACTCTGACTGATGGTATGGTCTGTTTTTCTGGGCAATCTGGGCAGGAATGAATGATCATTTTTGCTTGGTCTTTAGTAATATTAAACATTCCCATTAATGCAGGGGCATTTTAATGAAAAAATGTGTGGCTTATATGGGCTTGTTCAAAAAAGTTAGGTAGAGTTGTTCATATGGCCATGGTCAGAATGTCTGCTTGTGTGTTACCTTCTGCCATGAACCCTGGTAGGGAGGTGTATGATCAGATGTGGGTAATAAAATTAAATTGCTGACGAAAGAAGAAAAATTAATTTTTTAAGTCAATCGTACAACTTATCGTTTTGAACCATTTTGAGCATGGATTCTTCTGCTCTCTCCACCACTTCTGCAACATAAAAGGAGTCAGTAACTAAATGAAAAGGGAATATAAACTTAGAAAATGCATGAACAACCACTGCAAGCTCAGTGTTCCGGGGGGAGCCTTCCACTTTCTCAATGTCTGATTCCCACTCTTGGATCTCTGGGTTTTTCCAGGTAATTACAGATTTCTGAGACTTCCCCAAGGCCATCTGTAAAAAAGGTGATTGCATCAAGTATGTATGACGTTTTAGAGGTTTTAGGATCAACTTAAGAGCGGAGTGCAACAACTTATGTTTGGGATGATGAACTGAAATTTGTTCTGAAAAATTTACTAAAGCATATTGTAAACATTCAGATTGCTGTAACAACTAGTCTAAATAATTATGGGTAACATAACAGCATAACTGAGAAATCTCTTCCTGAAAGGAAGAGGATTCTGGATCTGGCTTTTATAATTAGCTGAGATAAGTTCTGGGCAAGTGGTTCTTGTCTTTTTTGATTGATATGACAGAAAGACCCATTCCAGGATGAGTAGCAGGCCAGGTATTTGTAGATCCCAGTGGAAAATTAATCCATAAAGTTGAGGACCTTCTCCTAGAACTACAAACTACAAAAAAAGGTAAATTGGGATCAAAATGATTCGCTTGACACAATTGGATGGCAGATGTAACTTTATATGGAGCTTCTTGGGCTTTTTCAGTCAATGTCCTGGGTCAATTTAATGCTGGATCTCCCTTCAGTAAATCATATAAAGGGGCTAAGTCTTGATTTGTAATCCCCAACAGAGGTTGGATCCGCTTGATTGTGCCCAAAAGTTGATGTATGTCACTGAGTGTTCTGGGGTTGTTAGTTGCAATCACTGGGGTGTCAGTCTGTTGCTTGTGTTCCTGTAATCTTGTGTCAGGGATACTTCCATTGGGGAAGTTGTATCTTTTCCTCAGCTTCCCACACAACTGAGGTGACTTGGTTAGATGTTTTTATAGAGGAGTCATCTTCTGCAGCTAATAAGTATGTCATCCATATAATTCAGTATAATGGACTGTGGGTGTTGTGGGCAAACAGGAGAAAGGATTTTGGCTATGTACCAAAGTACACAGATGGTGGGTGAATTTGTCATACCCTGTGCTAAGACTGTCCAGTGGTACCTTGTCAAGGGTGCTTGTTGATTCATGGTACTGAGAAAGCAAATCTTGGTGCATTGTCCAGATGCAAACGTATGGTAAAAAAGCAGTCTTTTAAATCAATTATGGTTAATTTCTAGTTTCTGGGTAGCATTATAGGGGAAGATAAGCCTGGTTGTAGGGATGCCATCTCCTCAATGATACCATTTACTTTTCTAAAATCTTGAAGGAGATGCCACTTCTCACTATGGGGCTTTTTAATTATAAAAACTGGAGTATTCTGTGGGCTGGTGGCTGGGATAAGATGGCCTTTGTCCAACTGTTCTTGTACCTATTGTTCTAGCACAACTAATTTTTCACAGGGTAAGGGCCACCGATCAACCCATACAGGTTTATTTGATGTCAAAATCAGTTTTAGGGTGTCATGCCCATCATAGCTCATATTAAAAAATTTGTTTCCAGCCTTATGCCCCATTCTGATAGAATGTTCCTCCCACACAAGACTACTTTTGCTTTTACTACAAATGGTTTTGTGGTAGTAATACAACCCTCAGGACCTTCAAATGTGACCCAATATAAGCTTCAGAAACTGTCACTGTGACTCCCAATACCTGTTTGAACATCTAAAGATGATACAAGAGTCCATTCTGGAGGCCAGTAGGATCAGGAAATCACTGCCATGTTTGCTCCAGTGTCAATGAGCCCAGTGAAGGTGATGTTCTTACCCAGATGTTTTAAGATGCATGTAAGCTCAGGTCATTCGCAGCTGATCTTGCTGGCCCACACAATGAAACAGTCATTGGAGGTTTCAGCATTTGAATCTGGCAACAAAAACATTTGAGCAAAAATTAGTCCACTGGGGATAAAACATGGGGGGTCAAGGACACATAGTGAGAACTGTTATTTCTTGTGATGATGTTACTGTAAGCACAGTGGGTATAACAAAATCCCTCAGCCCTAGCTCTGTTCTTTCCCACAATCAAAAATTCATGTGGCCATTGTTCCAGGCCTGATTGTCCAGTAGAGATTGCATGATGGATGTAGTCTGTGAGAATTACTGGTTGGGCTGTTGACAGCTCCAAGCTGGTTCCTGGTGGTGTAGTGGCAGGGAGATTGGAGAGGAGGTGCTGCAGCTGTGAGCTTGTGGCCTGTTGATGCCTTCTGGCATGGGTGACAGGGATGTTTGCGTTGTCACGCTCTGCTGCCTTGCACTCAGCTGGGAGTTTCCCGACAGATGACATGCACACTCCTGGACTAGATGGAAGTTGTTAGTTTTTTGATAGTTCCCCCTGCACCCACAAGGCTTAAAAGGCAACCTCTCTCTTGGTTTGTGACAATTCCTGGCAAAATGTCCTTCCTTACTACAACTGTGGCAGTCATGGTTCTTTGCTCTGCTGTTGCTTGATAGTATCTTTGAAGGCAGCTAGAGCCTCTGTCAAAAATTTCAGTCTGTAGGGTGGTGGTTTATTCCTATTGTTTTCTTGCATCCTCCTGGGCTGATGCTAGAGCTTCAGAGAGGACCTGTGCCTGCAGCAAAGCAGTGTGCTCAGAAGAGGCTGAATAGTTACAGGCATCTATCATCTGAGTGATGGTCTGCCCATGCTCAGGTGGAAGAGCACATAATACCTTTTTACACTGGGGATTTGCATTAGCTATTGCAAGCCTTTTTAACTAGTTCTTCCTCCCATACCCAGGAGCAAAAGCACTACCCACTTGTTTGCCTAGAGCGAGTTTGAGTCTGTCTAGATATTTCATATAAGGCTTATCCGGTCCTTACATATTATCAGCAAAATTCAAATTTGGTTTGTTACCTTCTGGAACATGAAATAATGCCTTCCTGGCCACGTTCTTGGTGTCATTGAGGATGGGCCTAGGGAGATTTTCTGCTTGCTGGTTGGGGTCAGTGTGGGCTCCCTCTCCTGCCAATTGTTCCAAATTCAATGCTGCCCTTGCTGGATCCCCTGCATAGTCTCTTAAAAGTGGGTTTAGTATGTGCTTCCACACTAATTCTCATAGGGAGTACTCCATAGTATAACATAGGATATAACATAGGATAACAAAGTTGTCATCAAATAGTGCATGTCGTGTGGTGTTAGCATGTGAGAGGCAAGGACAGCTTGAATTAAATTGCCAAAATATGGCCAGTCTTTTCCATATTCCCTTGAGGTCTTGCATAGTTCTTTTATTTCCCCAAAGGCCAGAGGCTTTCACTGGGGGTTGGCACCTCCCCTTGCATAGCAGACCGGCATCACTTTTAACTTAGAGACCATCTACCACTCCCCCGCCTCCTTCACTGCCTGCCTTCTTACTTTCTCCCATGGATCCTAGTTAGGGCTTGGAGGCCGAAGGTCTTCCTTGGATGATGAGGAGGAGTACAAGGAGGAATCGCTAGGCACCATAAATATTTTGTTGTAGCCCTTATAGCCCTTTAACTTTAAAGTAGGCCCCAGAGTAGGCCTTGGTGCTGGTGACCAGGGCGCTGCCATCTTAGAGGCAGGTCTTTCTGGAACCCAGGTGGATGAGGTTCTGGCCTCCTTGTAAAGGGTGTGGTCTCTGTGTCTGGTGACATCAGGGGAGGAGTGGCCCAAGGTGGAAGGGGCATGCCGCAGCGTAGAGAGGGCAGAGTTGGAGGAGGGATTACCTGATGATCCATCAATTCGACCAGAGGAAAGGATGTTAGTAGAGCTTTTAAAATGGCTGTCAGTTTCAAAATGGCGGTCGCTATCAGCACAGGAGCTGGTGTTAAAGGTGACTGACTGCTTAGTACTGGGCATGGAGGGACAAGGAGAACATGGAGAGGGATGAGGTGAACAAATAGGTTTGGGTAGGATGGAGTGGGAGGGATCCAGGATGGCACGGCCATTACCATCCTGGGCCCCAAGTGGAGGAGGTGGAGGTGGACACCTGAATTGTTATTTGCTCTGAACCCACCACAGGTATATGCATCTGCAAGTTTGACCCCTTATCTACCTCAGGAATGACTTAAGGAATGAGGGGGATGAGGTGAAGGGTTGGCAGTGCCAGACATTTCTGAATTGATTGATCTTCTCTCCCTTTCCTTTTCTTCATATTTTAACATCTCCATGACGAGGCAGAGAAGCAGGAGTAATTCTTGGACGAATTGGTGTATTTTTGTTGACAAATGGTACAGTTTCTTTCCTACTGGGTCCCAGAATGGTAGTGTAATTGTCTTGGGCACAGTAGTATTATGAAAATTTTTGAAAGCCCATTTGATAATACTGTTTGGCTCCTTCTTTTCCAATTTCTTCCCCTGGGATGCCAATTTTAACTTAAACTGATGATAAATGTCTTTATCTACAACTGATAGTTTTGTGACCATCTTGAAATTCAGGAAGGGTATTGATTATTGGGATGATGGGTTAACTGTCCCCTCCCCTCCTTACCTACCTTTGCAGGTCTTCCTGAGACAATTCATTCCCTTGAAGTTTGTCCAAGGTATCCCATTGGGCCCAGTTTCCACACTCAGGAGAGTGTTGGCCTACTGGTCAGTTTCCCCTGCTGATCCTATCCCTCCCTCAATGTGAGGGTCCCTGTCCAGGTGCCACTTGTTGTGGTGGATGACTGGAGAACTTGAGACCTGACCAGCTGGAGACGAAGTGGTAAAATGATAGAAGGATGGGCTCAATTTGATGACCCAAAAATAAAGAGCTTTAATAGAGAAAACAACAAACATACAATCAGCACAAAGTAGAAGGTGCACCAAAGGGGCAAGGGGCAGGGTGATACAACGACTTATATAAACTAGGGTCGGGGTGGAGTCTGAGGGTGAAGGCCTAATGGGGGAAGACAATTAGGAATATGTAAAATACTGTAGCAAATACAGTAGCAGTATGTAGCAAATAGCAGTAGGGAAAACAGAGAACCTTCCAGTAACATTTAAGTACAATTGAATAGAGGGCAGTGTGGGTACTGTTTTTCTCCATGGTAACTTGAGAAAGACATGTAATATGGTAACATTGTTTGAATTGAAATTTGAAAATTGAAATTGAAAGACAGTAACACGGTACTATTTTCTTCCTGATAAGGAAGATTTTTCCCACAGCTTTCTACCTCAGTTTTCAATGACCCCACCACTAAATCATTGACTCCTCTGTCATTTCTGTCCCGAAAAATCACATGGTATCAAAGTGAGACTTGAAAAGCACTGCCTTCATCGCTGGAGCCAAGGGGCAGCAACAGCCATCACACTTGCTGTACTTGCTAATGGTGAGGGTATCTTGGATCTGATGGGACTTCAGGGAATGTGAGCAGGCATAGTTCCTTCTGGCTTTTTTGAGTCCTGTCACAGCCACTCCAGCTTGTCTTTTCAGTTCTACCACTTAGCCATCATTGTTACTTTCTTCTTTGCAGCCTAGTTACCCTCAAATCCTGTGGATGTTCCTCCTCTTTGCAGGCCATCATACACACTGTTTTACTCAGTCTTTTCTTCAAAACTATCTCTACTGTTTTGCATTTTTTCCCCAAAAATCTCTTAACCAGTTTTTTGTTGAGTCCCCTTCTGCTCTGTCCTGGCCAGCTGCACTGGACTGCTGCTGCAGTCAGCAGCACTGACTTTGCTTCCAAAGATCCCCATGAAGTGTCCACCTCTTTTTTCCTTGAATCCATTTCGTAGTCCTAGGACATTGAACTAAAAGTCTCAAGTGTCTTGAATAAATGGTAAATGCCTCGAGGACCTGTGGGTTTTGGGAGGTCTCAACTTCTGGTATGGTAAGATATCTCAGTGCACATTTACTGATTTTTTGAAGGTGTTTTTCAAAGGCTTATATGATGACTAGATATGTTGCATAAATTTCTCTGCAGTAGCTAGAAAGTGTGTTTTCAGTGCAGACAGTTTCACCTGCTATATTTCAAGGAGCTCACTCAAAGTATTGGTGTTTTAGAGTTTCCTAAAATAATAATTTTTAATACAAACAAAACACTTTTTCAGAACCATCCAAAATATTTTGTCTAAACTTGCCAAAAAATTCATATTGAGGTGCTTAATAGCAAAGTAGAACTTCAGTCCCAAATTGGATGATATGATCAACATGATTTTATAATAAAAAATGTTAAATAGCTCTAACAACAGGAAAGTGTAATATGAGCTTGCTTGCTCTTTTATCTCATCGCTGTGATGTGATGTGATTCTGTCCATGGATTTACTGAAAGAAACAGGAAGGAAAACGCAATCCTATTATTCACCAGGCTGGGATTTCTTCCATATCGTCTGATGTAATTTAAATTGAGCAGCCTCCATTTGACGCAGTTCATCAGAGCCTGCTAGCTCAAGTGATGACCCTGGCACTGTGCCAGGCGGGGAGAACTGCCTTGGTGGGGGTAGAACCTTTTGAGCCACTTGCTCAACAGTGCAGGATACCAATGTCAGGGATTGGGCGAAGGAGAAGGAGGAGGCTCTCTGAGGTTCCAGCAGGAAAGGTTTATTGACACAGAAGGGATTGGGAACAGAAGAGCTCAGAGAACCTCTGTGCACGGGATTAAATACATGGAGGTTTCAGGGGGTGGGTACAGTCAGCCAATAGGGGAAAGCCTGGGGAGGAGCACAGGGCAGGACTACATAATACATAAACCAATGGAGAGGACTGTGGATGCTAGCTTTGGAGCAGGCTGCAGGCCCATGGCCTCTCAGTCCTGCCTGAGAAGCTAGCCTGAGAAATTCAAAGGAGGATTTCAAAACAATCCTCAGAGACAGAAAACAACTGCTAGGTGCTGTTTGTCTGTCCTCTTGTTTTCCTTGCAGAAGAAAGTCAGGGGGGTAGTGAGCCCCACTGACCAATGATGGTGATGTAGCACTTTGCTAACCAATAAGAGTTTCTTTTCTGTACTTTTCCACGTATCTGTCTATAAGACAAACCTAGGGCAATAAACTAGAGAGATTCTCCTGTTGTGACTCCCTTGAGAGTCCGTGTCGTTCTTTCCCACCGTTCCTAATCAGAACGACAGAGGACAAAGGGAGGAGAGGGGAGGAGAGTGGATAACATGGGCCAGTGGGGGTCTCGAGGCTTAGGGGCTTTCCAAAGGCAAGGTGTCACAGGGAGCTGGGCTAATAGGGCTTTGTCAGGGAAGGGTCCAGAACAAGGGGAAGGGCTTACAATGATGTATAGCATAGTGGAAGGTGCAACTTAAGGATAAACCAACTTCAGGGGAATCATAGGGGAGCACAGGAATAAGCCATATAAACATGAATCAGCAAACTATAAACACATGCCACGACATCCACTGGCCACCAAATGGATGCACTAGCCCATATGTTAATCTAGGATTGCTTCTTTAGAAGAAAGGAAGCAATTACCTTTCTGTAGGGAAAGAGAATTCATTCCATATGCTCAATAAATTGAGGGTTTTAAAATACTCACCACTTTCACTGGACATTTCGTTTATGCTTTGTTTAAGGGTGACTGAGTTGAATTCAGACTCAATGTGAAAATTGTAAGTGGCATACTGTTTCTCTGAAACTGCACTTGAATCTGAATTTGCAACTAAAGGGCTGATGCATGATAGTGAAGCATAGTTTGTGCTTTATAGAAAACTAAAGTTTCCATAGTCAATATGCCATGCTGTAGATGCCATAGAGCAAATTTTTGTAGTAGACATTTCCCCTGATTCAGGCAGTTTCTCTAAATACTGGAAATCAAATTAATTCATGCTGCTTTTCTGCACCAGAACACATTTTTTTTTCAAAAGATTAAAAAATATTTCCTCATTCATCTTAGACTATGTTGGATTTCTCAGCAGTCACACAGTAGTGACTTAAGTAGCATTATAATCTGCCTTCCATTATTTGATGGTAAGTGAAACTGAGGAATTGGAAACAAGAAAAAAACTTCAAAAACTACACCAGTGGTGTATTTGAAATGAGTGGCAATTTATAGTTGCCTAGTAGTTAAGTGGTTAAAGATATATTTTGTTTCAAAGCCAAGAAAAATGAAATAACAATTATCTGATTTAGTATGGTTAAGTGGGATTATCAGCCAAGACATAGTATTTCATTTAAAGGAAGTACCCTGGTGGCACTAACAATATCAACAATATCAATTATATAAATGTTAGTAACAACAAAAACATTCAATTTCTTAACAAAGGTCAACAGTAAATCTGTCTAAAATATCTAAGGCTCATAAAACTCACGGCTTTGCAACAGTGACTGAAACAGATGTTCACAAAGTCAGCATTTAAACATGAAGATGCCATAAAATAAATGAGGACAGGATTAATTTAACAAGTTATCTCAAGAGCAGAATAAGGAAAATGAATTAACAGTTACTCATGCAATTCAAACGGACTCTTTTTTCTGTAAGGTAACTGAAAACAGAACTGAGAACATTGTGTTGAATTCATTCACTAAATAAGTTTGCTGACAGCTGTATAGATCTGCATGTGCAACAAGGCAGTAGAATCTATTGTATTGTATCAAGAAAGAGATCTGCCATAATAAAATTTCCTATGTTGTTCTTGTATAATAATGGAAAGTAAGCCTTTTTCTCTCTGTAAAAGTTTCATACTCAGCTGTTCCAACAGCATAGGTCTGCACCAATGTAGCTTTAGGAAGACAGAAGTCAGGAGAATCAGATCACATTTTTGCAGAAGAGCCAGTGTCTTCAGATTAAATCCATTTGGATTCTATCTTGAGGCCACCTATTTATTTTATTTTTTTTAATCTAAAAGGTAAGCGACAACTACAGAGACAGTCTGTAATTTTTCATTCTGTCTTTGTCTTTTCATTTGTTTGCTTACATAATTGTTTTTTTCCTTCCTTCCAATTCATTCAGTCTTTGAAAGAAAGAGAGAGAGAAAGA